TTTAAATACGTAACGGCGGTACATGTATTCCGTTACTCCCCAACACTGGTGGTTACAGACATTAGATCTGCATTATTCTGTCAGTTTTGTAAAAAAAAAAATTATAACTGCTGAGTATGTTTTATTTCTCTGTGACAATATGTGACACACGTTTAGTTACATCAACTAATCAGAGTGGGCCAGAAGAAGCCACCAATGCTTCTAGCTAAACCTCTCTGCACTGACCAACAAAAGTTGCTTTATAACGTTGCCTCAGCTTCTCTCTTGACAGACTGAGTTCCTGTTTCTGATTTTCCACAGGAAACTGTTGGCCAGCACCTGTTCCTGATGGTTAGCGCCCTCACGCAGCAGATTGCAAAAGGCCCAGTGGATTGTGTCACAGAGAAAGCGCTGTACACGCTCAACGAGGACTGGCTGCTCTGGCAGGCTCAGGACTTCAGCTCGCTGGTACACAAACACACACTCATACTTTCTGCATAACAAAGTGCATGCACAACTGAGTCGCACCGTGCATGAAAGCAATCGTCTGACAGCCCATCACAAGTTTGGCAGTTGTGCTTATATATGTGGAAGCAATATTTAATACTTCCTTATACTAGTTCTGTTTTTTCTCCCTTAGTTTGGTAAGTTCAAACCTTGCTTTAACTTGTTGCTGACATACGGTAATCCAGAAGTCATTTAAATATTCTCTTGTGCATGTGTTGGGGACAGTGATGGCAAATAAAAGCACAACAGCACACAGCAGTTCTAGACCAACACCCCAAGTGTCCTTTTCTAATATGGCGTGGGACACTGTCATGTCTTTACTTTGTTTTCAGGGTATCTTTCTAAATTTCTTGGGTGTTGTGCAAGAGACAACTCTTAAAACAGGGCGAGTCAATCACACTAATAAATCTGCTGCTTTTGTTTTTTTATTTTCTTTAAGGCTTGTGAACTTGTGAACAACGTGAAACTGAAAAACAGCACCCTTTCAGCATGCACGCAAGTGTGATATGTTTGCTATGGTGACAAGAAACTAAATATAATCCCTTGACGAGTGCCCCACTGAACGTAGGCCCAACCTGTAACTCTAACAAATGGGACGTTGCACATTGCCAAACAACACACTCGAGGTGCTGTTTAAGGAAGCAGGCACTTACACTTCTGATTAAAACATTGAATTCTAGGAAGTGGAAGATCTCTGCGAAACATAGATCAAACACACCAATAAACCCGCATTCTGGTACAACATGCTTTGTGGGACACACCCTACCTCATAATGTAGAGAAGACACCAGTACTTGTTTGGTCGGACCTAATTTTTTAAATTTGGTTGTTATGGGCAGTAAAATGAACTCAGACCTGGTTTAACACCCAGATTAAAATACCAGGTATGTTTCAGTTTATAAAATTAACATAGCATAAAATAATGACTATAAAAGGAAACCTGGACAGGTAAATAATACATGTGGTTCATTCAGTAGAGCACATCGCCTATTAATTGATTGGTTGGTGGTTAGAACCACGGCTCCCCTTGTGTGTGTGTTATAATAACCTTGTGCAAGGTGCTGAAAACCTAATCGCCCCGATTCATGCATCTGAGATGAACTATTCTTCATCTTAGGAACTTTTTAAGTACTACCATGTACCATTTTAAATGTAAGGGAGTCAGTGCCTGATTTGGCAATAACATAAAACGTAATAAGAATATTTGCCCTTAACTGTACTTAAACAATCTTCCTATCTGTAAACTTTTTCTAGATGAACAGAACTGAATTGTTGTTTCTGTTGTTTAGCTTGAAGTACTGAAGAAAGTTGCATCTGAGTCAAATCTGAAGTTGCACCCACAGTCTTGGAATGAGCCAGATTTGGTGAAGCTGTGGTTTCATACAGTCATTTAGTGAATAAAACCCAAGGATGGCATTTTCCTAACCTCAGCTTTGGTTGTTATTTGGTGACAAATCTTTTTTTAAAGTTTCAGGGGCTTTAATGTTTTAACGGTTAGCACAACCTGCCAGCTGTCTTGTTTTTAATCCCGTGTTCGAAAGTAACTGCAGTAGCTTCACACGTTTTTACTTTGACGAGATTCTGATGGATGATAATTTTCTGTACATTTTGCAGTCTATTGACAGTGCATTATAACAGAGCTGCATCATTCTTCAGACTCTTAGACTTTAATCTAATCTGACAAACCACTGTCTCACTTTAGAGCTAATTTCTGTATATTAGATGACACGTGCATTAGCCACCAGTTTAAAGCTTTCCTCATTATCTCTGCAAAGAACCAAAGATGCTGCTTAAAATATTGCAGCTTTTCTTTCTTTGAAACATCTTTTCTTTTTTCTTTTCTTTTCTTTTCTTTTCTGTTTTTTTTTTTTTTTTTTTTTAACTCTTAACCAGTTACCAAAATTTTGCACAATAGGAATTTTTTTGTGGTTTGTCGATGAGCATGAATTCAGTTGTGTGCATGCTGGTGGCATTACTTCCAAATGTTGCTTATTTGTGAGTTTATCTAGTTTTGGTTTTATGCTCAGAGTAAGTTTATCTGTTGTGTTAAGATTGTGGCCACTAAAGAATATTTCATTACTTCTTTTTTTTTTGCCTTGAGAAACTCTTGGGTTGCGTTTGCTGAATTCTTCGGGTGATTATCCATTTGCACTGTGGAGCTGATGTAATCAGTTTTGTAGCATCCTGTTTCTTCTGTCAGCAGTCACATTATTGATAAATACTGGTCATATGGTTCCACTGGCAGCCATACATGCTCACAACATACCTCCACCATTTTTGACAGATGATGTGGTGTGCTTTGGCTTGAGGTTGTCCTTGAGTGTAACTGGTGATTTGCACCTTGCTGTAAACCCTCTGTATTTCCATTCATGAGACCATCTCTTGATTGTTGACTTGCTTAGATGTTTCAAAGTTAGCCCACTTTGTATCAACATCTCTTTGGAAATCATATGGAGGGTTTGACTGAATAGCTATCAACACTTAGAATCAACTCCATATGGGCACCAGTTTAGCTCATTGGTTTGAAATGGCAACTATACAAAGTTCAATGGGTTCTAGTCGAACCTAGGGCCCTTTACTGTGTGTTTTCCCTTTGTCTGTCTCACTTTCCTGTTAAATTCCCACCTTTCCATTTATTAAATGGTGAAATATTGCTGGTATTCTGGCAATACAGAAATGCTAACAATTACTATTTTTTCTGCTTACAGAAGCTCAAAGTGCTGTTTGCTGTAGGCACTGACGGGGAGGTGAGTGAGCCTCTGGAGGTCAACGCCCTCGACTGTGATACAGTGGAGCAGGTCAAAGAGAAAATTCTGTCCAGCTTCAAGGCCAAGTTTGGTTTCCCCTACAACATTCCCCTGAGGGATGTCTGCATAGGTAGGTATCAGATCCTGCAAGAAGTGATAATAGCATGTCTTTAGCATGTCTTAAGTGATAAGTGATTTGCATCCACCAACCAGGTTTGAAGTGGTATAAAGAGGCAAGGAACAGATACACATACAGAGATTCCTTTATTTACTGAATCTTTTTAACTTGCCCTGTATATTTGTAACGTACATTAAAAATCTGCATATTATGTCCAAATTTAGGGCTTAAGAGCTGCTGACAAAGCGGAGAAGCTGCTGACAAAAAGCTATAGAATAAATGTAGCTTACATCTTAAGCATGTTGCACTGTTGAAGATGGTTTGACCTTTTGTTTTTATGCTTTTGCATCAAAATGAACAGTTAGATTATAATATTTACTGCTTATGTTGTCACTGTTCCTTGTTTTACAAACTATCAACACCTTCTGTTATTATTCCCACCAGAGTATGAGAAGAATGGATTATTCCTTCCTCTTCAGGAAGTTGATGCAAGCTCAGAGGTTATTGGGGAGGTGACAATGCTCAACACACTCAAACACTACAAGGTGAGGAAATATTATGTATCTCTATCTATCTATCTATATACATATGAGAGAGATTGAAAATGTTATTTTATTTAAATAAATCACTTTTACACAGGAAGTCGCTTTGCGAAACACACCCAGTGTTTGTGTTAAAAGTTAGGGTACAATATGCTAGCAGGAGGGTGTGGCTGCAGAGAAGGGTGTGTCACACTGTGTCAGACAGCAGAATTAAGTTAGCTAACAGGTCTCCTTCTCTCACTTTCAGTTGTTTGTTCCAAACTACCATGCATTCACGTTTTCAATGGCAGTTGCAGGTACAGTTAGGTCCATAAATATTTAGGCAGAGAAAACTTTTTGCTAATTTTGGTTCTCTACATTACCAGTATGAATTTTAAACGAAGATGTAGTTGAAGTGCAGATTTTAAACTTCAATTCAGTGGGCTGAACAAAAAGATTGCATAAAAATGTGAAGAACTAAAGCATTTTTAACACAGTCCCTTCATTTCAGGGGCTCAAAAGTAACTTGAGAAATTCGATAACTGAAAAAGTTTGTCTCCAAACTTGGTTGAAAACCCTTTGCTGGTAACTCATGAACAACACCAGACTCTGGGTTTCCCCCCTCTTTAATGTCAGGCCTTTTTTTTGTTTATGTGCCTTTTGTCTGAAGTTTAGCCTTCAGTTAGGTTAAGATTAGGTGACTGACTTGGACAATCAAAAATGTTCAATGTCTTTGCTTTAATACACTTTTGGGAGAGATGGGCAGTAAAGCTGCGGCACACCTACACCAGGGCAAACCTCCGCCTGCCCCACTCCTGCTATACAGGTGAAAATAGAGCAACAGGACCGCTGAGTGTTTGATTTTATTTATTTTCTGCTGTGTTTTACTTGCATCTATTTGAAAGAGAGTGTAAACACAAAAAACTATTTTATTTTATGTGCTGGAATGTGCAGAAAATAGGTTTAAATGTTAAACAAATTTCTTCCAGTCAGAGAATGGTGCATATAATTTAATTTTGGGTTGGTGCGTAAAGTTAAAAGATTAAAACTAATAAAACTAATTTTAAAAAGAGACTTTTTCCATTTGATTACATTTTATATGATAATGCAGAAAAAGTAGAATTGGGCTGAAAGATCTATCGCTTTATTACCTATTCAGGATGTAAATCATGTTTTTAAAAAGTAACTAATTACTTTTGAAAATAAGTTATCAGTCTTGGTATCCGGGAGGGGCTCAGAGTAGAGCCACTGCTCCTCCGCATCGAAAGGAGCCAGCTGAGGTGGTTCGGGCATCTGACAAGGATGCCTCCTGGGCGCCTCCTGAGTGAGGCGTTCCGGGCATGTCCCACCGGGATGAGGCCCCGGGGCAGACCCAGGACACGCTGGAGAGATTATATGTCTCGGCTGGCCTGGGAACGCCTTGGTGTTCCCCCGGATAAGCTAGAGGAGGTGGCTGGGGAGAGGGAGGTCTGGGCTTCTCTGCTTAGGCTGCTGCCCCTGCGACCCGGCCCCGGATAAAGCGGAAGAGGATGGATGGAATAAGTAATCAGTAAAGTAACAGGATTACTTTTGGGGGGAAGTAATCAGGAAGTAATCAGTAACTAATTACTTTTTTCAAGTAACTTAACCAACCCTGACTTTTGGGTTGCTTTGGCTGTCCGTTTTGGGTCATTGTCCATCTGTATTATGAAACACCCTCAATATGACTGCATTTAGCTGGATTTGAGCAGACAGTATGTCACTGAACACCTCAGAATTCATTCAGCTGCTTCTGTCCTGCGTCAGATCATCAATAAACACTAGTGTCCCAGTCCCACTGGCAGCCATCCACACTCAAACCACCCACTGCCTCCGCCATGTTTTACAGATGATGTGGTATGCTTGAATCATGAGCTGTTCCACGCCTTCTCCATACATTTTCTTGCTATGATTCTGGTTGAGGTTGATCTTGGTTTCATCTGTCTAAAGAATGTTTTTCCAGACCTGTGCTGGCTTTTTTAGATGTTTGTTTGTTTTTTTTTTTTTTTTTTAGCAAAGTCCAATTTATTCTTTCTCTTCTTGAGGCTTATGAGTGCTTTGCACCTTGCAGTGAACCATCTGTATTTACTTTCATTTTAAAGCTGGCTTGTGTCACCTGCATCTAGAGCTCCTTTGACCACATGTTGTCTGTTCACAACAAAATCTTCCAAATGCAAGCACCACTCCTCAAATCAACTCCAGGCCTTTTATCTGCTTAATTTATAATGACACGATGAAGGAATTGCCCACATCTGCCCACGAAATAGGCTTTGAATCATTTGTCCAATTACTTTTGATCCTTTTAAAAAGAGGGTGGCACGTGTTAATTAGCTGAAACTCCTAAACTCTTCATCCAATTTGAAAGTGGATACCCTCAAATCAAAGCTGAGAGTCTACACACAATGTCGATGTCCATTGTATCACTATAATTGGAATAATTATAATAATAATAATAATAATAATAATAATAATAATAATAATATAATGTCATATTATATAATTATAACTATCATTGCAATATATTTCATATTTCATATATGGACATCATTTTTAACATCATCCAGGAAGTGGCTATAGGGCTGCACACACTGGTACTGAAACCTCATCACAGGTGCAGTTTTTTTCAGGGTTTCTTGTTTTTAAGATGACAGATTTCAGTGCCACTGCTTCTGTGCTGAAACCTGGCACTCTCTTGTTTTGAGGCTTTATCCCAAATTTACTAACCTTCCATTCACATTTGCTGTTAAGTTGGACTTTTATTTTGACAACACCAGAAAAGACGAGCTTAATTTGAGCCAAGACTCATCCAGGCTGGAAAAACTGATCAGGAAGGCT